AGAGGTAGAGAGGAGGCAGAGATGCATGTGGGGGGCAATGGCAGAGGGGAAGAGAGGCACAGATGAGGATGAAGGGAGAAACTTGGTGGTGCATGAAAGCAACTGCAATGGGACAGAAGTGGAGTGGAGGGATGAGAGGAGACAGACGGAGAGAGGACAGACGAAAAAAGAAAGAGAGAGGAAAAAGGAGAGAGGAGAGAGGAGAGTGGATAGAAGAAGAGAGAGGAGCGAGGAGGGAGGAGACAGGAGAGTAAAGAGTGGACTGTAATGCGAGTAAGGCAACTGCTTCTCACCATGCATGTGCCCCTGCTGGTGGACGTGTGAGGCGGGAGCATGTTGAGGCTGTGCTATGTCAAGGAGGTGAGCAGGGTTGGCGTTGAGAGGGGCATGGGGGCCAGTTGACGGAGGATGCATGGCATGTGAGGGAGGCGAGGTGGCATGGCACTGCACGTGGGGTTGTGGGGCATGGGGCTGTGGTGGATGGGGTTGGCCATGTTGTGCAAAAAGTCGAGCATGTTGCGCATGGGGTTGGACATGAATGGCATGGGGCGATGGGGCATGGGGCTGCGCATGGGACGATGCTGTAGCTGTGTGTGGGGATGTGGGGTTGGGAAGAGGTGGTGTGAACGTCGTAGGGGGAGGTGAGCGGAGAGCATGTGGGGGAACAACAGGAGAAGAGGGCGGGAGAGGTACAGCTGTAGCGATGAGGGCAGGAGGAGAAGTTGCAGCAGCTGCAGGGGAAACGGCAGCAGTGGCAGCGGAAGGGGAAAGTGGAGCAGGTAGAGGGATGGCAGCAGGAGGTGCAGCAAACACTCGATTCACCCCTGAAACTGTGAATAGATGTGAGTTCTGCTGCTGCTGCTGCTGCTGCTGCTGCTGCTGCTGCTGCTGCTGCTGCTGTTGCTGTTGCTGCTGCCATTGCTGTGGCGACTGCTGCTGCGACAGCCACCGGTGCACAAAAGCATTTTCCATGGCAGCTATCTCTTGCACTGCTGATACAGGCATGCCACGCCGCCGCTGCTGCTGCTGCTGCTCCTGCTGCTGCTGGTGGTTGTGCTGCTGCTGCTGCTGCTGCTGCTGCTGCTGCTGCTGTTGGTGCTGCTGTTGTTGCTGCTGCTGCTGCTGCTGCTGCTGCTGCTGCTGCTGCTGCTGCTGCTGCTGCTGTGCTGCTGGTGCTGCTGCTGCTGGTGGTGCTGGCGTTGTTCCTGCAGCTGCTGCAGGTGGTGTTGCTGTTGCTGCTGCTGCCACTGTTGCTGCCACTGCTGCTGCTGCTGCTGCTGCTGCTGCTGACGTTCTTGCTGGTGTTGCTGCTGCTGCTGATGCTGACGTTCTTGCTGGTGCTGGTAGTGTTGTCGTTGCTGCTGATGGGTCCGTTGGGAGCTCAAACAAGGCAAGCCGGCCGAGTCAGCAGCAGCTCTTGCCGTGCCGGCAGCGGTGGGAGGAAAGGCACGGGGGAGTGGAGCAACCGCCACCCGAGCAGACGGCACGGCGCCAGCAGTGGCAGGAAGAGGAGCCGCAGCAGCAGGAGCTCTGGCACCCGCGTTTGTTGCAGTAGCAGTAGCAGCAGCGAGAGAACGGCTTGGCATGCCCACCACAGGATGTGGCACAGAGGGCATGTGTGCACGCACATGCACATTCTGCTGCTGCTGCTGCTGCTGCCGCTGCTGCTGAGTCAGCGCTTTTTGGCCTGAGAGAACAGCAGCAGAGACAGGAGGTGGCGTCACAGGGCCTTGCTGGGGAGCAACTGCAGATGCATTCATACCCGTACTCACTGCACTCATGGCCGCATTCACTGCACTCACTGCAGCATGCCGTGCAGCGTGCATGCTCGATGTACCTGCATGCATGTTCGTTGTTGTGCCTGCACGTACGGTGGCTGATGTGCCGACAGCTACTGCTTGAGTGCCCATTGCTGCTGCAGGCAGCGCTGCTGTGGCTAGTGACTGCACACCCATTCCCCCCACACCACCACGACCTGCAGCCCTTGCACCACTGGCATGAGCACCACCACCAGCAGAAGCCCCGGCAGCTCCTGCAACCCTAGCAAGCCCAGCAGCACCAGCAGTCCCAGCACCACCTCCACCAACCCTTGCTCCCGAACTTGCTGCTCCTGCAGCTGCTGCTCCCGAACCTGCGGCTCCGGATGCTGCTGTCCCCGCCCCACTTGAGTACTTCGCTTGCCAAGCGTGCAGCAGCGGAATTTGACCATCCACCATCCCTATGGCTTCCCTCGTCCTCTCCACTGCTGCCGCCCCTTTCGCTCTTACCACCGCCTTCCTCCTCTCAAGCTGCTGCCGCAACAGTGCCACCTGACGCTCAAATCCCTCGTCCAGCTGGCGCTCTACTGCCAGCGTGGCAGCCTGCTGGTGCTTCATAAGATCCTCCAGACGCAGCCGCTCTGCCAGCACAACATCCCGCGTGGCAGGTGTGAGACCGTGGACGGCAGAGAGAGTGGCGCTGTCCATGGGTATGTGGTCTGAAGGGGGGGGAGTGCTGCTACCACTGCCAGGCACAGCAGCAGCAGCAGGGTGACCATTCTGCTGCTGCTGCTGCTGCTGCTGCTGCTGCTGCTGCTGCTGCTGCTGCTGCTGTTGCTGCTGCTGTTGCTGCTGCTGTTGTTGCTGAATGTCGTTGATGAGCAGGCGTTGGTGCTGCAGGGCGTTGAGACGGTGCAGGAAGCTCAGGCGAGGAGGGGACGGCTGCCGTGATGGTCTGCGCATGCGCGGGGGAGGCAGATCGGAGACTGCAGGTATGCGCTCTGCTGTTGCTGCTGCTGCTGGTAAAGATGGTGCTGGTAGTGATGGTGCTGGTAGTGATGGTGCTGGTAGTGATGGTGGTGGTGCTGCTGGTAGTGGTGACGCTGCTGCCGCTGGTGGTGGTGGTGGTGTTGCTGCTGCTGCTGCTGCTGCTGCTCCTCCTCCTGCCCCTGCAGCTGCCCGTGCAGGTGCTGAAACTGGAGCTTCAGCAGTGCTCACTGCCGTGGTGCCAGGGCCAGGTGACGCTCGGTCTGCCATTTCTGTGTCTGCTGCCACTGCCGAGCCTGCCACTGCCGGGCCTGCCACTGTTGGACCTGCCACTGCCGGACCTGCCACTGCCGGAGCTACTGCTGCTGACTCTGGATGACAGCCTTCCCTCACTCCTCCACTCACCCGTTCCCCTCCCTCCATCTCCCCACCTACTCCATTCCTCGCTCTTGCTGCTGCTTCTCCCTCTCCCTCCCCTGCTGGTTCTACATGTGCCTCTGCCATCGCCACCTCCCCTGCTCCCTTGCCGCTCGCCATCCCTGTCACTACAGCTGCTTGTGCCCCCTCCCCTCTCTCTCCTGCCTCTGTTTCGTCTGCGCCATCTGCCCTCTCTGCGCCATCTGCTCCCGCAACTTCCTCTGCTCTTTCTGCCCCCTCTGCCATTTCTGCCCCCTCTGCCATTTCTGCCCCCTCCGCCGCTTCTGTTCTCTCCGCTTCCTCTGCCCCCTCTGCTCCAACCAAAGATTGGTCAGTCTGATCCTCATGCGCACCTTCAGCCGCAGTCCCTTCCTCTCTCTCTGCTTCATTCCCACTCCCTTGCTCCTTCTCAGCCCCCTCCCTACCTCCCTCTCCGCCCTCCTCATGGACCCTCTTGGCTGTATCTGGTGCAGCTGTATCCGGTGCAGCTGTATCTGGCGCAGCTGTATCCAGTGCAGCTGTATCTGGCGCAGCTGTATCTGGTGCGGCTGTATCTGGTGCGGCTGTATCTGGTGCAGCTGTATCTGGTGCAGCTATATCCGGCGCTGGAGCTGTTGTTGCTGCAACCATGTCTGCTACAGCTGTCTCGGCTGCACTTGCTACAGCTGTCTCGGCTGCACTTGCTACAGCTGTCTCGGCTGCACTTGCTACAGCTGTCTCGGCTGCATCTGTGTCTGCTACAGCTGCATTGGCAGCAGGTGTGCCCTTGGGGAAAGCATCTGCTACAGGCACGTCAGGTGCAGCAGTGTCGACTGCAGCAGTTTCCAGAGGCACCAGCGCGCTTCTCCCCTCCTCCTCCTGCCCACACTCACCGCCCTCACCCTGAGATGACGCCAATTTTCTCCCAACCCCCAATTCCCTCCCATCCCCCACTTTCCTCCCATTTCCTAATTCCCTCTCCTCCCCCACTTCCTTTTCATTCCCTCCTTCCCTTTCCTCCACCTCCATCTCCTCCCCATCTCTCATCGCACCCCTCTCCCTCTCCACAACATCTGCACCGTCCATCTCTCCTTCCCCCCTGCTGCATGCTTCCACCTCAACCGCTTGCTGCTTCTCCCCCTCACCTCCTTCCGCCTCCTTCCCTCGCCCTCCTCCTTGCTCCCTCTCTTTTTCCTCCTCCTCACCTACCTCCTTCCCCGATTCCACCTCCCCTCTCCCCTCCTCTCTCGCCTCCATGCGCGCTGCAATCGCCTGCCCATCGCCAGCCACCCCATCCACGGGTTTCTCCCCCGCTTTCAGCACCCCCACCTCGCCTTCACCACCCTCCTTCTGCCCATCCCTTAGCTCAACAGCATCCACTGATATCTCCGCAACTCCAACCGCCCCCAACTCCCCTTCACCACTCTCGTTCTGCTTGCCCCTTAGCTTCGCCGCTGCCTGACTGCCTTTCGCTGATGTCACGTCCACACCCCCAGCTGTAACCCGGCCCGCCTCTCCTCCAAGCCCCTCTTTCGGCATCGCCCTATCCTCCTGTGCCTGCCCCTCCATGCCTCCATCCTCCCCTCCCATGCCTCCCTCCTGCCCGTTCAAGCCAGCCTCGTGCCTTGATCGCTTGCCCAGCACAGACCTCCCCGCACTCCTACTCAGCATCTCTCGCACGGCACCATCTGCGCCGTCCCCACGCCCCTTGGTCTTCCCAGCAGCCCCAGCAACCCCAACATCCCCAACAGCACCAGAAACAGTAGCAGCCGCAGCAGCCACAACAGCAGAAGCGGCGACAGTAGCAGCTGCTGCAACAGCTGCATCAGCCCCTGCACGAGGCTCCTTCCCATCACACACCACAGAGTGCTCTCCATCTGCATCACCACCACACGCCCCTGCTGCCACCTGCTGCTGCCCTTGAACCTCCTGGCCCAACACGACTGTGCGTGTGCCTTCAACACAACGGTCCGCCAAGCCATGCTCACTTATCCCGCCCTCGACCACTCCCACTGTGCTTCCGCCACCCCCCTCCTTACCCCCCTCTCCAGCCACCCCCCCTCTCTCCCCCTCTCCCCGGACTTTCATCTGCCCATCCTGGAACTCATCCGTACTCACTCCCACCCCCCTCCCTCCAATCCCTCGCCCTCCTACCCCCCTCCCTCTTCCCCTTCCCACTCCCACCAGCACACCTCCCCGCACCACTCCACACCCCCGCCGCACCACTCTCCCTCCCGTTCTCTCCGGTACCCCCCCCTTTGACCCTCCGTCAGGAGATGGCCTTGCTTCAGGTTCCTCTCTGCCACGTGGGATACTTGTTGCCACCTGGCTAAGAGGCTGCTCATGACCCTCTCTGCCACGTGGGATGCTTGTTGCCACCTGGCTAAGAGGCTGCTCATGACCCTCTCTGCCACGTGGGATGCTTGTTGGCACCTGGCCTGCCACCTCATCCCTCCCTTCACCACGTGTTACCCTGCTTTCCGTTCCACATGTCACCGCATTTGATGGGCCAGCTGGCATCTTCTTCGCCACGTCATCCCTTTTCGTGCCTGCCTCATCTCCCAGCTTTCCACGTGTCGTTTCTTTCGGGGAGCCAGCTGGCATGTAATCTGCCACGTCATCCTCCCACTCATGCGCCTCAGCGCTCACCACACCACATCTCCCTTCATTTGCTGAGCCACGTGGCACATCCTCCCGCCACCTCAGATCATCAAGATCACACGAGCCTGCTCGGTCGTCACGGAGGCTCACCTGAGAATTCACCTGGGAGCGACTACTGCTGCCAGGTCCAGGGTGGCCATGCCAGCGCCCAGATGCACGCTCAGGTGAGAAACCAGGTGGGAAACGGCGTTCAGGTGGTAAGTCAGGGCGGTGTGGTGCACTGTTTGGGTGGTGACAGTTTTCAGGCAGTCCTGGTGGGCTTGGGCGGTGGTTAACTGGGGGAAGTGGCAAGGCGACGTGCGCACTGGATGGGGGAGGGCGTGTGTGGTGATTGCTGGAAGGGGAATCGGAGTTCTGAGTCGACTCGCGAGCCTTCTTGGAGGGAGGGAATGGCAGGGCCACGGTCGTATGGGAGGGGGAGGGGCGTGCGTGGTGGGGGCTGGAATGTGCGTTGGAAGGGGAATTGGGAGCGGCGTGGGTGGTGGTAGGAGATTGGGGGTGGTTGCGGGGAGTAGAAGGAGGTGTAGCGGCATGGTTGGGAGCAGCAGCATGAGGATGAAGGGGGTGGGCGTTTGGAGGGCGTGCGAGGAAAAAGGTGGGGGGTTGGTTGGCATGGAAGAGCATAGGAAAGCCAGGAGGATGATGACGTGGCATAAGGGTAAGTGAGCCATGCTGACTGGGTGGATGTGGGCCATGCTGACTTGGCAGATGAGGGCCCTGCTGACTTGGCAGATGAGGGCCCTGCTGACTTGGCAGATGAGGGCCCTGCTGACTTGGCAGATGAGGGCCCTGCTGACTTGGCAGATGAGGGCCTTGCTGGCTGGGAAGCGGGAAACCATGGGGCCGAGGGAGGGATGCGAACATAGGTGGAGGGAGGGATGGGAACCCACGGGGATGACTGAGACCCAGAGGGGACAATGCATGGGCCTGTTCCAGTTCCTGCGGTCTGAACACATGAGAGACATGGCGGGTGGGCAGCGCGGCGAGGGGTGTGGGAAGCAAGCCATGGGTCCCCACACCCCATGGATCAAGGTTCTGACCTGCTCCTTCCCTTGACCCTTGCTGCCTGCTTGCAACAAGGTTTGGGGGAAAGGACGTGAAAGGGAGGGGGTCGTGAACTGGCGGATGGGTGGGGGGGAATGGTGGGTGGAGGTGGGAGAGGGAGCGTGAGAGAGTGGAGGGTGGGTTGCGGGAGTGGCGGGACGGGGATGAGTGAGACCGGCGCAGAAAGCTGTCTCGATGCTCATGCCCTGCCTGCCCACCAGGCTCATTCCGCCCATCCTGCTGCTGATGCTGCAGCTGCTGTAATTCTCGCTGCTGCTGGTGTGAGCCTTGCTCCTCCTGCTCACGCGTTGCCAGGCCCCTTCCCTCCTCATGCGCCCAGTGCTGCTCTGAGGGATGCCCATCATCGCGACCACTAGCGTCACTTCTCACCTTGTCCTCCTCATGCCACTCCCCCTCCTCCATCTCCGCACTCCCCTCCTCGCCACCCTTGCCTTGCCTCTGCGTCCCATCCACCGCTCCTCTCTCCCTTCCCATTCCGCCCTGCCTTCCCACTTCTCCCTCATTTCCCACTTCTCCCTCCCCCTCTGCTCCTGTCACCCTCGTCGTCCCTTCTCCTGCTCCACCTTTCCCCCATGCATCCCCCACCAAGCCTCCACCTTCTTGCTCCCCCACTCCCCTCGTCCCCGTCACTCCCCTCGTCCCCGTCACTCCCCTCGTCCCCGTCACTCCCCTCGTCCCCGTCATTCCCCTCGTCCCCGTCACTCCCTCATCTGCTCGCCTCACAGCCTCCCTCGCTCTCTCACCCGCTAGCCTCCTGGCCTCAGCCACAGCAGCAGCAAGCCCGCCCTTCACAATCTCAATCCACCGCCACACACCACTAGTCCGTGCGCTGCATTCATCGCTCATCAAAGTGCTACCATCACTGCTTCTCACATTTGTTCTCACCCCTCTACACCGCGCACAACCGCCATCCGCTTCATTAGCCTCACCCTCTCGCTCCTCTCCGCCCTCTCTACCCTCGCTGCCCTCTTCGCCCTCTCCACCATCTATACCCTCTCTACCGTCTCTACTATCTCTGCTGTCTCCGCCCTGCCCTCCTCCATCTGCAATGGCCGTGGACTCTCCTTCTGCCATCCCTAACGCCCCTCTCTCCACTCCCAACATCTCGCCTGCATTATCCCACACTTGCAATCCCTCCTCTCCTCTTCCTCCCACCACTCCTTCCATCCCATCTCGCCTCTCCTCCCCTGCCACCTCTTCCCCTCTGCCTGTCTCTTGCGTCTCGTGTCTATTTTCTCTCCATTCCACCTCATGCCCTATCTTCTCCCTCTCCACCTCATGCCCTATCTTCTCCCTCTCCACCTCATGCCCTATCTTCTCCCTCTCCACCTCATGCCCTATCTATTCACTTTCCACCTCATGCCCTATCTTCTCCCTCTCCACCTCATGCCCTATCTTTTCACTTTCCACCTCATGCCCTATCTTCTCCCTCTCCACCTCATGCCCTATCTTTTCACTTTCCACCTCATGCCCTATCTTCTCCCTCTCCACCTCATGCCCTATCTTTTCACTTTCCATCTCGTGCCCTATCTCCTTGCTTTGCACCTCCTGCCCGACCTCACCCCTTTGCTCTCCCCCGTCCACCCTATGCTCCTCTTCCTCCCCTCCAATCATATGCGCCTCCTCCTCCCTCCCAATCCTATCCTGATTCTCCTCCCTTCTATTCCTACGCTCCTCCTTCTCCCCTCCAATCCCATGCTCCTCCTCCCCTCCAAGGTCATACCCTTCCTCCTCCCCTGCCCTCCCCTGCCCCTCCTCCCCACGTCCCTCTTCTATTCCCTCCTCTTCCCCTCCTTCACTCTCCCCTCTTACCTCCACCGCAACAGCCTCCAAATCCCTCATTGACAAAACAACTTTCACAGGCTCGGGGACAACCGGACCTGCAGGTCTGGGCCAAGCCAGAGCCCGATCCAGAGCCACAGACGTGACACTCTCAAAATGTGGGACACTGTTCCTCGCCCATTCTTTCACCATCCGCTTGTTCGTCGCCCAGTACAATAAAATCTCCCTCAATTGCTGCCTCACGCCTGCATAACCTTCCCCATTACCACACTCCACCCGTCCCTGTCCCTTCCCACCACATTCCATCCCATGCCCTCTCCTGCCACCTCCTCACCAAATCCCTTCCCCTCAGCACCTATTTCAGCCCTACTGTGTGCCTCACCCCCTGTCGCTTCTCCCTTCCCTGCAACACCTTCACTCCGTCTCTCTTCACCTTCACTCCGTCTCTCTTCACCTCCATCCCCCAAGGGACCAGCACCACCATCCACTCTTCGCCTCTTCCACCCCTGCTTGCCTTCCCTCCCCTCCCTCCCCTCCCTCGGTTCCTCCTCTTCCTCCCTTTGCTCCTCGTCCCTCTCCCACCCCCCTTCCCTTTCACCACCACGCCTCTTCACCCCTCTCCTCGCCCCATATTGCAACCCCTCCCCATCCCCACACACCTCTCCACCTCTCTCTGCCCCTACGCCTCTCACCTCTTCCCTAATCTCCTCTCGCTCCTCACTCCTCTGGTACCCAGTCTTCCTTCCCACCCAACCACCACGTCCCCCCACCGTTCCACTCAGGCCCCTCCCTGTGTCATGCCACATGCCATGCTGCAAGCGCCGCTCTTCAGAGTGTTGAAATGCCTCAAAGCCCCTCGCTGCCCCATGCCAGGCGCTTTCCAGCAGGCGCTGCTCCTCAGTGGCGGGGCAGTAGAGGCGCAGCACGGTCAGAGGCGGTACGCTCCAGGCTTGCTGCTGTGGAGAGGGGCTGGGAGCGGTGGAGGTGTTTCGGTAGAAGAGCAGGGAGGCGAGCAGGTGCTGCAAGGCATGACGGGGGCGAGAGGAGTGGGGGGGGGGAAGAAGGGCCCGGAGGGGAAAGAGGGGGAAGGGAGAGGAGAGAATAAGGGTGAGGATGAGGTGGAATTGAGGCGTTATGGCTTCTTTTGATGCTGTCAGTCGTGGTGATCAACCACATCCGCTCCCGCAGCCACACTGACCTGAGTGGTCAAGGAAGGAGTTGCTGAGTCATCCACGAGTATAACCACGTCAATGGAATCCAGATCCACGCCCACTGACACCACTGCTGCTGGCGCTAGCACGATAAATGGACGCTCCCTGCCTGCCCCTGCCTCCTGCTGCTCTCCCTGCTGCTCTCCCTGCTGCGCCGGTTCCTCCTCTCTCTCCTGCCCATCCTCCTCCGCTCCTCCACCACTCGCCCCTTGCTCCCACCCTCCCTCCACTGGCGCCTGCCATTGCGCTTCCATCCCTGCCTCCTCATCTCTCTCCTGCTCTTTCCCTTCACCTACCCCCTCCTCAAGCTCTTCCGCAGCCTCCTCCTCGCCCTCATGCTGCCCCCCCCACATACTCCCCCCCGTGAACCCCTCATCCATCTGCTCCTCTTTCACTCTTCTCAGCGCCTCGCCACTGCCCTCCCCCCTTACTAACCCCTTCCCCGATTCACCGCCCCCCTCCACTGACGCACCACCCCCCTCCACCGACTCACCACCCCCCTCCACCGACTCACCACCCCCCTCCACCGACTCACCACCCCCCTCCACCGACTCACCATCCTCCTCCACCTCACGCTCCATCCACACCGGCACTTGCACCACCGAGTATTCCTCCTCCTCCTCCTCCTCCTCCTCCTCCTCCTCCTCCTCCCCTGCCTCCCCTGCCTCCCCTTCCACCTCTTCTTCCTTCACCTCTTTCACCTCCACCCCCACCTCCTCCTCCACCGCCTCCTGCTTCACCCTCACTCCCACCTCTCTCGCCTCTCCCGTTCCCCGTCCCCCCTCCATCTCCCCACTCTCCTCACCTTGGCACTCTCGTTCCTCCTCCATCGCGCCTCTCCTGCCAGCCCTGCGCCTACCATGCTGCTTACCCCTGCCGTACTGCCTACTCCTGGCCTGCTGCCTATCCCTACCACAACCCATCTCACCTGCGCCACTTTCAAATCGCCTCCCTGCCTCGCCTCTTCCCCCGTGCCTCTCCCTTCCCCCGAGTCTATACCTGTCCCCGCGCCTATACCTACCCGCTCCACCAATTCTCCCCCGACCCACCACCCTGCCACCACTCAGCCGTATTCTCACCGCCCTCGCCCTTCTTCCATTCCTTCTCCTGCCACCACCACTTCCTCCGCCCTCTCTCCCGACTCGTCGCTCCTCTGCCCCTCGTCTCCCCTCCCTCACGCCCCCCCTGTGTCTCCTGCTGCCAGCCCTCGCTGCTTCCCCACCAATTCTTCTCCCCCTCACTCCTCCCCCATCCTCTCCCCCTCCACCGATTCCTCCCCCACCCACACCTCCCCCACCCGCCTCTCCCCCACCTCCTGCCCCCCGACCCCCTCTCCCATCACGCAGGCCTCTTCCTCTGCCAAAAAGCACCTCCCGTCGCCCTCCCCGCACCACACTGCGCCCCTGCTCGGCCAGTGCCCCTCTCACCACCTGGGAGAGCGTGTGGGTGCAGGCAGCAGGGGAGTCGGACGAGTGCAGGCGGAGGAACGCACCCCCACTGCCGCCCCACTGCTGAGCGAGCATGCTGGCTAGTGCCTCCCTCAGTTGCCCATTCTGCACAATGACATAGCAGTAGATTTGGGAGGGGACGTGCAGGGATGTGGGTGGGTTCAAGTGTTGAAGTTCAGCTGAGGGACAGCAGACAGGTTGGGCAGCCGGTAGTGCCTGCCTTTGCACGCACTCAACTCTGTCTGTGAGGCAAGACAGGCATGTGCTGCCACACGGAGCACGTGAGTGATTGTTACATCTGACGGCACACGCAACGAGGACCCACTCACATGCACCAGCAGCAGAACGGTCTTTCCTTTCCGCTGGAGACAAGCCAGCATGGCACTCAGCAGCCGCAGCTTCCCACTGCTCTGCATGTCATCTGCGCTGGTAGGCCTTGCCTCCTCTGCTCCTGCTGCTTCTGCTGCTGCAGTATCACCGGCAGAAGCAGGGATAGGAGCAGGAGCAGGAGCAGGAGCAGGAGCAGGAGCAGGAGCAGGAGCAGGAGCAGGAGCAGAAGCAGGAGTTGCAGCAGCAGCAACAGCAGCAGCAGCAGCAGCAGCAACAGCAGCAGCAGCGGCGGCAGAGGCATTTCCAGCAGCGGTAGCAGAAGCGGCAGGAGGAGCAGGGGGTCTGGGAGCGCTAACAGTTGGGTGGGCAGGGCGTGGGGCAGGTGAGAGAAGCTGCGGGTGGTGGCAGCACTGCAGCAGTCTCTTTCGGAGAGCAGTGAAGGCTGCTGCAGGCAGTGCAGCGGCCCCGGCTTGGGTCCGCACTCTCGCTGCTCGCTTCAGCTCTCGCATCGTCGCCCTGTGACAGGGCGTGAGTGAGTTGGGATGCAAGAACGGGTGTGGGATACAAGCGGAATGATTGAGCAGGTGGTGCGAGGAGGAAGTGGAAGGCAGGGGAAGGATACACAGATGTATTGACATTGCTGCATGGAGGGCTACCTACCTGTAGAGTAGAGTGCGAGACGGAAGGACATAAGGCTGTTGAATTTCACTCAGGGATTGCAATGCAAGAAAACATGCGCAACACGATGGGGTACCTGTAGAGTGCGCGCTGGTGGAGAGTGAGGCTGGCAGGCCACCAGATCTCCCTCACCGCCCTGCCCCTCACAGCCCACGTCCTCCTCAACGCCCACTGCCTCCCCTCCCGCTCGGCACCCCAAGCTGCCACAAACGACCCACCAACCCCCTCACCACCCTCCCTCCCTGTCCCCCACTCCCTCCTCCTTTCCACCTGTTCCCTTCCTTCTCCCCCCTCCTCCTCTGCCCACTCTCTTCCTTCCCCATGTACACCACGCACACTGTCATCCCCACTTCGCCCCAGGGTCAACCCCACATCCAGCACATGCCACTGCCTGTCACCACTACTGCCCCTGCCACAGCCACTAATCCCACCACCACCACTGCCCCATCCCTCCTTCCTCCCATCCGTCACCTCCACCTGCTCCACCCCGATGCCCGACCACATGGCTGCTGCAGCCTGCACTGCTGCAACAGCAACAGCTGCATGCCCCGCTGCTGCTGCTACTGCTGCGGCGTCCCCTCCTCCTCTGCCTGCTGCTGCCCTTGCTGCTGCCTCTGTGGCCACAACAGCAGCAGCAGCCACAGAGAGTCGGTCCCATGCCCCCACTGCACTCCCATGCCTCCTCTGCTGCTCACTCTGCTGATCACTCTGCCGCCCACCCTTCTTCTCACTCCATTGCTCTGAGCCTGTGGAAGAAGCACACACGAGCAGGCGTGCGTGCAGAGCGAGGGGCGGAGGAGCACATGGCGACTGGTCACACGCCGCCACCTCAGCATGCTGGGAATTGGCCTGGAAACAACTAATCATGGACTGCCACATGTAACAGTCTACAAGGATACCCGGTGGCGGAAGTTCCACAAGAACAGCTTCCCAATGCACCTGGGAGAGCCGACCTGCCTCCTGCACATCCGGGCCGCACACAGTTCAAATCCAACGGCTCAGAGTGAGTGAAAGCGTCTCCAGGGAAAATCAACTTACATAAACAGACTGAGATTTGGATTGGAACGGACGGGGGAGAAGACAAGGCAAGGGCAGGCAGGGTGGAGTGGAGGGGAGGAGAACGGTTTGGGGAAGAGGGGGAGGGAAACAGCAGGGCATGTTCGAGACGACTCATGAATTACCTTGCCTGCAGCGGGGAGCAGCTTACATGCACGAATATCGCTGCTGTGGTGACAACCACTTGCGGCTGCACCACGATGCCTGATTCCGCTGGTGCCCCTGGCGTGTCAGCGGCACCATTGGCAGGCTGTCTGCTTGCACTCGCACTGGCAGCAGCGCCAGCAGCAGCGCATGCAGTGGCACCATCAACAGGCAGCATCTCCCTGTCCCATATGGCCTCCAGCTCCGCCCCTGACCACCCCACATACTTGAGCACATGGATCTCCCCTCCCTCCCCCACCACCACCTCTCCCACAGCTGCCCCCGCCACTGCTGCTGCTGCTGCTGCTGCTCCCTCCTCCTGCAGCAGCTGTTCGTGCAGCAGATGGGGGTACAGCAGCTGCTGTTGCTGCTGGCGCTGATGGTGTTGCAGAAAGTGGAGGATAGGGGGAGCGGAGATCGGAGCACCAGCGGGCGGCGTGGCGGGGAGAGGGGCAGATGACGAGGATGGGGCGCACGCACTTGAACTGAGTGACGAGGGCGCGACACAACGCCAGGAGCACATGAGAGCTGCCCTGCCCAGGGAGGCGAGATGAGGGGCGGTGGGGTGAGATTAGGGCCGGTAGAAAGGTGCTTTTAGGGTGACTTTTGGCGATTGAACCAGGTTAATGAGCGATGAGTCGCCAGCCATGAGAAATATAGAGTATTGCTGTCCTAAGGGATGCATGCGGAGGTGACAAAAAAGTGCTTTCAAGCAGCTCAGATTGCTGAGAAAGAGGGATAGCAAGAATGGAAAAAGTAGAGAGAGATGTCATGTCACCCATAGGGAGGAGCAGGGAGAAGTGGCATAGTGTTGTACACATAACATTGCTGCATACCACTAAAGATAGGTGCTCACGCACACTGCAGGCCATGCCATGCCATGCCATGCCATGCCATGCAATACAACGGTGCTGCTCTACTCACTCACCATGCCAGGGACCATGCACAACAGTGCACGCCTTCCCACCTCATCGTCCATCCCTCTACCCCCCTCCTCCACGCCCTTCTCCCCCCCGCCCAACCCTCTCTCCGCTCTCTCCTCCCTCACAGCACCACCAGACGCCCAGACGCCAGCAGCTCCCACGTCAGATCCCAACCCGCGCCTGCTCTCTCCCACAGCCTCCCACACAGCGTTCAACGCACGGTCCAGGGCGCCCCCATCGCACTGCCACAACGCCCTCAGCCAATCCACGGCCGCCACCTGGAACCACGTGAGCTGCACAGACTCTACGTTCTGCCCGTCGTTTGAATGGTGATGCTGCGTTATGGCAAATGGAGCAGCGCGTGTGGCTCTTGCCTGAGAGGAACACCAGTGATGGTGCAAGTGGGGGGTGGCGTGGTGGTAGAAGGAGGCACAGAGGGGGATGTGCGAAGCAGAGGGAGGCTCACAGAAGGACTTGCTGACAGCATAGTACAAGCATGTGAATGAATGCAGGTTTTAACAGCTACATGGATCAATGAAGTAGAGTGCATGCCTCACTGCGTGTAAGAAAGCTGCCCTGCCATGACCCGCACACCACACAGATGCACGAACCACACTATGTCCTGCCTCCTATTTCTTCTGCTCACACTCCTCCCACTCCCTCTCATGCCCCACCTGCAAAAAGAAACACCACATCTGCTCCACAACATAACGCCCATTCACCCACCCGGCCACACACGTACCTTCAAGGGCAAGAGCATGGCCATGGGCATGGGCTTGGGCTTGGGCTTGGGCATGGGCTTGGGCATGGGCTTGGGCATGGGCTTGGGCATGGGCTTGGGCATGGGCTTGGGCATGGGCTTGGGCATGGGCATGGGCATGGGCATGGGCATGGGCATGGGCATGGGCATGGGCTTGGGCTTGGGCTTGGGCTTGGGCTTGGGCTTGGGCATGGGCATGGGCATGGGTATGGGCTTGGGCTTGGGCTTGGGCATGGGCATGGGCATGGGCATGGGCATGGGCATGGGCATGGGCATGGGCATGGGCATGGGCATGGGCATGGGCATGGGCATGGGCATGGGCTTGGGCTTGGGCTTGGGCTTGGGCTGTTATCCAACGCCTACCCCATAAGCCCCACACACGCACCTCCAGCCTGGCCTCTGCTGTGGCTCTGCGCTCACACCCCTCTCTCTCCCTCTCGTGCGTCGCCTGCAGCGCCATGCCACGTGGCGTGGCGAGGAAGGGCATGTTGCACGGCTCCCATGTCAGGTGCTCGTACCCCACGCCCCTCCACTTCACCAGCCTGATCATGCCCCGTGCACACACGCACACAATGAGGACAGGGAAGAGGAGAACAAACGAAACGAGAAGGGGAAGAGAGAGGGGAGGGGATAAGTGATGCAGCAACGCTGCAATGACAAGGAGGGTGGACACGATGACAGAGAAACAAGGGTAGCACAGCATCTCACTCGTCATTCTAATGTCGTCATTGCACTCACCACTGGTATTCATCCGCCACGCGTCTCAGCCGCCCTCTGCCACGCCCCTTGCCGCCACCCTTGCCGTGTCCCATCCCCTCCACCTTGAACCGCCCCAGCAGCCGCTCCGGCTCCACCCACTCACTGCGGAACATGGGCAACTGGGAAGGGGGAGAGGGGGCTGCGTGGGTGGGTCCATGTGGTGCTATGCATGCATGACCATGGGAATGGAAGAAACTGGTTTGCTTGCATAGTTCAGTTCAAACCAGAGAGCATCTTGCAATGAGAAGGATACCTCGAATCTTCCAAGCACACACACTGTAGCTCCGGACGGCGGGGCTAGCACCACCACCGCACCACACCACACCACACACAACAAAACGTACACACCACCCAACATACATACCTCACCGTCCGCCTTGAGCCTCTCGTATGCTGCCAGGTGTCCTGGGAACCGCGACTGCAGCCAATCGCCATCCACCCACGCATTGTGCACGTGAGGCCGCTTCAGCCACTTCACCAAATATTCCCTCCCCCTGCCACGCCCTGCCTCCGCGCTCTCTCCACTGGGTCCCACACACGTCCCTGCTGCAGCCGCATGAGTCTGTGCTCCTGCATCCCTGACAGAACAGCCAAGAGCTTCCACCCCCCCTCCATGCGCCACATCCAACCGATCCCCACCCATCCCCTCGTTTTGCCTTGCCCCCACCCCACCTTCTTCCCCTACCAGCCCCTTACCCCCTTTCGCCTGCCTCCATCCCTCTGTGCCGACTTCCCTCCCCCCTTCCCCTTGCTGCCTGCTCTCGCCCCTGCCTTCCCCACTGCTTTCCACCCACTCCTCCCTCGCACCTCTCCCTCTCCCCCCGCGCCCTTCATTTTCCTCATTTCCTCGTCATGCTGCCATGCAAGACTCCCCTCCCTCATCCCACCTCCTCCCATCCCTATCCCCATCTCCCCACCGCCCCCTTCCCCTTTCTCCCGGTCCAGCCACACAGACTCCACCACCACCTCCCCCAGAGCCCACCACTTCTCTGAATCCTCGCCATTAGACGCCCTGTTACTAGCACCAGAGGCCTTAGAGACCCCACCACGAACTGCTGTATGACTGCCGCCTCCTCCCCCCGCCTTGCCAGCACCGCCACTGCGGCTGCTATGAGCAGGAGGGGCAGCAGCAGCAGCAGCAGCAGGGAGGTACCCACACCGTTCGCTTCATTAAACCCCCTGGCCGCATCCCAATCCTCATCCTCCAAACTCGCCTCACCACCCCCACCGCCGAAACTTCCAGCCAACCCTTCCCTTCCAGGAGTATAAGCACAGCCAGTTGGGGTTGTAGTGGAGAGGGGGGGATAGGGGAAGGGGCGGCGGGAGGTGCGGAGGCGTTCGAGGCAGTCAGGGCAGTACCAGGGGCCCTTGGGGACGTGGGAGAGCTTGGGCTCCGCACATTCCACGTGGCACGCCTTGGAGCACGCAGGCCCGTCACAGCACCTGCAGGGGAGACGGCAGGTAAGAAAACGGAGGGAGATATGGCGAGTGCGGGGCTATGGTGAGGGAAGGGAAGGCGTACGTACGGCGAGGGGCGAGGGCAGAGGTAAGTCGAAAGCAGAGCAAACGCAAGAGCAGTGCAGTGCAGCAAAGGCAAGGCCAGTCAGAGGTAAGGCAGGGAGGAAGTAAGGCGAAAGCAGAGGTGAGGCAGGGAGGAAGTAAGGCGAAAGCAGAGGTGAGGCAGGACAGGACTGACATGAGCAACCCCCCGTCAATGCACTTGAGGCAGTAGTCCACACGAAAATCCTCCTGGACTGTGACTGTGGGCTCCTCCTTCTCCACCCCTGGCACCCAGAAAATGTCGCGCCACCACGCCCACGTCACCCTCCGCCACACCTCGTTTGCCCTCCGCACCCGCCTCTCCTCCTCCCCCTCGTCCCCGCTCCCGCACTCCTCCTCCACCAGCGCACCTCCTAACCCGCGCACCACCTCGTCTGCCCCTCCTAGGCTCCCCATTCCCCTCTCAGCACATCCTGACCCGCGCTCCGCGTTGTTTGTCCCTCCAAAATTCCCCATTGCCCCCCCCGCAGCTGCTGAACACCCCAGTGCCTCGCGAGACATGCGCATGGAAAGCGAGTACACACCATCAACCTCCCCATCTGAAGCATTAACTCCATCCCTCCTCGCACGGCCTCTGCCAAATGAGCTCGTCCCTCCTCCCCTTCGCCGTTGCCTTGTCCCTCGGTCCCGTACAAGACCTCGCCCGTCAACCCTCTGTCTGTCAACCCCCCGTCCTCCAAACCCCCGTCCTCCAACCCCCCGTCCACCAATCCGCCATCGCCAGGCCTTCAACCAGCGCTTCATTCACACACAACTCTTCCCCCTCCCCGTCCTCCTTCTCTCCCTACCTCGATCCATCCCCGCTCCAATGCTCGTGCCTGTCTCACCCTCCCTCCCCCTCTCCCTCCTCCTCTCCCTCGTCCTCTCCCTCCCTCGATCCATGCCCGCGCCACTGCTCGTGCCTGTCTCATCCTCTCTCCGCCGCTTCCTTCCGGTTTCGCGACCCGTCTCCCCCGCCGGCTCGCTACCCACGTTGCCCGCGCCGTCCAGTCGACCAGCGGATTCCACATGTGAATCCTCGCGAGTAGCAGCCGCATGGAACGCAGGCGGGGAATCGAATCCCGAGAGAAGGGGCTCGGTAGGAGCACGCAATCCGCTAGGTTCAGCGTGGCGTGCTAATAGCGGTGGGTCGTCCTCTGATGAAGCTCGGTTGCCGAGGTGGCAATCGGCTGCTGACAAATTTCGCCCGCTCGCGAAATCGTCGACTTGTAACGTATTTCGTTCAGCTACGCCGTCGACTCCCTGCGATTCAAATAAGCGTTCACATTTGACCGCCAGATCCGACGGCCTCGCACTGAAAGCCGCAGACCCGTGAGGACCTGCGGATGGAAAGGCGAACGACGGATTCGCATCAAACCTATCGCCAACATCGTCGATGCGATCGACCATGCCGTCGTTAATGTCGTCGCCAATGTCGTCAATGTTGTCATCGTCGTCTAGAATGATAGGGTCCTCTCTGGCGCCGCTAGCCACGATGCTACCGTCCTCCATCGCTCCTCACCGCCTCACCGGCGACTACTTGAAAGAAACAATGAATCAGCCTGACGTCTTGTTTAAGTTTTCCTTTAAACTCAACGAAGAAGATCACGCACGAAACGCACCGTACCACACCGCGCCGCACATTCAAGCTCCGTGACTGACCTGGAACGTCGGTCGGCACTCACGGTTCCACTCAGATCTGACACCTACTACCCGAGAACGTCGGTGAAAGCTAACGCATTAAGGTAAATCAACACACGAAGTGCATGGAAGTGCAAGTTACGACTGGAATCTGGCTCGTCGAGCTGACTAGCGCACGGAGACGGGAATCGGGTTGAGATTAGGAGATAGTACGAACTCCACAGCTGAATACCGCAGGCCTGCTTGCCTGGCAGGCTAACAAAAACAAGTTAAACAAGAGTACCACGCAAACGGTATGCAAGAAACCCGAAATAAACTCAGAAAAAGTCTCTTATCGGCTCCGCAATAGCTGTATCTTTCCTCGAAAACATCGAATGTTTCCGAAAGCCAAGCCATGAATCACGGTAAGACTTGTCACGACACGGCTAACGAGGTGAATGTGTAATCGCTCGTCGCAGCTCCTAGGCACCCACCATGGCTCGAACGCTCGCTCAAGCAGAAGACGCGCACGCGGAACTATCTAGGAGGGATGGATGCTGCTTCTGCCATGCCAACTGATCATAAGTCCCTTGGGATTCAGGATTCGGGAATAGCGGTGCCTGGCGTCAGACTCAAGCACCTGGCGCGGTATAAGGCGTGGCGGCGAGAGGGAAAAACGGATTGTACACGAGCAGATGCAAATCGATTGTGCTACGTACAAGTATTCGAAAGGAAGTTTTGGCATGATTCTAAGCAGAGACACTTCACTATACAAGATTTCCCTAAGAGAAATATCTGGTCTTGGGCCACAAAGCTGAAGGATACAGGTAGTATAAACGTCTCGTCCCTCATGCATCAACCATAGCCTCCGCCTCCTCCTTACCCTCCTCCTTCAGAGGATAGTACTTGTAGTGTAACTCTGTTACGTCGTCACCCGACACCTTCGTCCAGCCTTCTGGACCCACATGGTACACTGTTATTAGGATAAGATACAATACACACATCCATATAGTTAGTGGAGAGGGGAGAGGGGGGGAGCGGGGGGGGAGGAGAGAGGGGGAGGGTAAAGGAACTCCAGCTGAAGTGCAGAAAATGCAGAATTGCACAGCTACCACTTCCCACTAAGTATTCCTGATTTCCAACTCAACGTCCACTAGAGGGCAACGCATCGAGTAGCCAAGTGTTCTCCCTCAGAGCACACGCACCTGATGCAGTGCCACCACTGGCGGAGTCACGGCAGGTGCCATCGCAAATGGCACCACAAACAGTAGGTGCCTCCATAACCTGTCCTGCACCCACCTGACGTGCTGCCTCCAGTATCAGTGCTCCCCCTTCAGCGCACACGCACCTGATGCAGTGCCACCACTGGCAGAGTCACGGAAGGTGGCATGGTAAATGGCCCTTCGCCCCAGCTCCTCCGCCTCCTCCACTGACAGATCCCACCGGTACCTGCCATGCCATGCCATGCCATGCGACACAGGGACGAGGTACGACCGACACGCAAATTCAAATTCCCAGGTAGTAGGTCAAGGATGTAAGAATCTTCCTTTCACAAGCAACCGTAAGCAACCTGCTCCTGATTCGCTAACTGCATCCCTCATTCTCCTCCCTCCCCACCCTCTCTCCCCTGCCTACCACCCTGCCCGCCTTGGAAAACCACGCTTGCGCTTATCATACTGCCCGCCCCCTCTCCTAGGCCCCGCTCGCCTTCCTAGTCTCCCTTTCTCCTTCCCAACCCCAACTCCCAGCCCTGCTCCTGACTGCTCTGAGAATCGCCACCCCTTCCCCCCCCCTTCCTTCCCTCTCCCCTCCCTCTTTCCTTCCCCCGTCTCACCCTGCGTCCAGCACGCCATAGGCATAAGTGGACCCAGACCCCACTGAGAATCCCCGGCTCTTCAAGTGACTGCTGTGCGGACTCACATGTCACCCCTCCCCCCCCCGTCCCCACTTCCCCCCATCTCCCCTTTTCCTTACCCCCGTCCCCCCTTCCCCCCATCTCCCCCTTTCCTTCCCCCCGTCTCACCCTGCGTCCAGCACGCCATAAGCATAAGTTGATCCAGACCCCACTGCGAATCGCCGGCCCTCATAGCGAGACCCTTCACTGTCCACATAGAACAGCTTCGGGCCCTGCGGTGCGGCACAACAGCACAGAAGGAGAAGAAATACAGACACCCCTTGCCGCACAGCAGCATGGTACATCATATGCACATGACTTGTTCGGAAGGAGGGAGCGCCTCCGGCACAGAACAAAAAAAAAAAAAAAAAAAAGACACCCGTTTGGCCTGTCCGTTAAAGCCCACAATCCCCCTCAGGCTTGACGTTGTTTCTCATGACTTAACATGCGGCCTACATCCCAGCAGCCGTTGATCGCACTGACCGCCTCATCTCAGCCGTCGATCTCACATGGTCCTATCATCCCAGCCGTTGATCTCACCGTCTCATCCCAGCCGTTGATCTCACCATCTCATCCCAGCCATTGATCTCACCGTTTCATCCCAGCCGGCCACCATGGTGCCGATGGAGAGCCCCATGCCGCGGTACGAGAAGAGCGTGTTGGCCAGCAGCTTCGACACAATCCAGATCCCACTAACCCTCTCGACTAATCCCAGCCGTCGATCTCACTTGATCCTCACATCCCAGCCGTTGATCTCACCGTTTCATCCCAGCCGGCCACCATGGTGCCGATGGAGAGCCCCATGCCGCGGTACGAGAAGAGCGTGTTGGCCAGCAGCTTCGACACAATCCAGATCCCACTAACCCTCTCGACTAATCCCAGCCGTCGATCTCACTTGATCCTCACATCCTAGCCGTTGATCTCACCGTTTCATCCCAGCCGGCCACCATGGTGCCGATGGAGAGCCCCATGCCGCGGTACGAGAAGAGCGTGTTGGCCAGCAGCTTCGACACAATCCAGATCCCACTAACCCTCTCGACTAATCCCAGCCGTCGATCTCACTTGATCCTCACATCCTAGCCGTTGATCTCACCGTTTCATCCCAGCCGGCCACCATGGTGCCGATGGAGAGCCCCATGCCGCGGTACGAGAAGAGCGTGTTGGCCAGCAGCTTCGACACAATCCAGATCCCACTAACCCTCTCGACTAATCCCAGCCGTCGATCTCACTTGATCCTCACATCCCAGCCGTTGATCCCACCGTTTCATCCCAGCCGGCCACCATGGTGCCGATGGAGAGCCCCATGCCGCGGTACGAGAAGAGCGTGTTGGCCAGCAGCTTCGACGCCCCCGCCACACTGATGCGCCGCCCGTTCTCCAACTCGTGCAGCCGACACTGCCACCGTTGCACGTCCGGGAAGGGAGAAGGGGGGGCGTGGGAGAGTTGGGGACTTAGACGTTTCAAAACTCGTCGATGATGATGGGGGAAAGAGGAAAAAGGGGAGGGTGGGGGTGGGGTGGGGGGGTTTTGGAAGGGAGCGGCGCAGGCAGGGGGAAGGGAACAGCAATTTTAGCCACCACGCACCTGTCTGCCAAGGTTGCGCTGCCAGAACTGGCAGTCCGCTGCACCGCCCGCCATGGTGCCGAGGAGATACTTGTTGATTTCAATCACCTTCTTCACCGTCTGTGAGGCTGGTCGCAGGGAGGAGGCAAGCATGCATGGTGAGAGACGGGTTGTGGAGACGTGGGATGAGGTAAGGATGAGGAGGCAGGACGATCTCGAGAAAGTACGAGTTGATCCCTATCACCTTCATCACTGTCCCGTATGTGACGCTGCAGGGGCAAGGAGGCAAAAAACGGGGAGAGAAGGAAAAATATTCAGGTGGCTCAAACAGTGGGAATGAAAGGAATCTCGCAGAGGGGCAGACAGAGGAGAGGCGGAAGACGGGTGGCCAGATCCCCGATATAAGCGCGCACCGATATAAGGGCCCATGGTGGCGCGCGAGTCGACGGCGATGATGACTCCGTGCTGGAAGACGAACCCGAGCGTCGTCGTGCCGTGCTGCGGCTTCACCATCTCCATTGCCGCGCTTTGAAAGCCGTCCAGCTGCAGTGAGAGGGAACGGGGAGGGCGCGCGGAGGGAGGGAGAGGTGCGGAGAGGGTGAGGGAGGTGCGGGAAGAGAGAGAGAGAGAGAGAGAGAGAGAACGGGGAGGGAGCGTTTTTTTAGGCGCCTCAAAGACGAATCCGAGAGTGGAGGTGCCGTGCTGCGGCTTCACCACCCATCGCCGAGCTCTGCAAGCCGTCCAGCTGCAGTGAGGAGCGCGCAGGGAGCGGGAAGAGCGGGGACGGATCGAGAGGGGAGGAGACGCGACGATGGAAGGGAGAGGAGATTATGCTGAGAGATATCGAACCGTGCCAAGCGTCGACATGGACTCCGTCGAGGCGAATAGAGTTGTGCTGCAATTCCGTAGAGCTTTCGACGTGCCGGTACAACGTACAAAGCAGAAAAATCGGTATTGTGTGTCTACCCAATCGTAACAACTACTCGTTCTCAAGAAGATACGGGGCGTGAGAAATCGAATTGGCTCACATCCTTCACGGCAGGCAGCGGGAACGACGGCGGCGCGAATCCGACATCTGCGTCGTCGAAGCGGCCGGGCTGAAGCGACGGCGGATCCACAAGGCTCATGTCGATCCGCATCCTGGCGAGCGAAAAATCGACGAACGCGCTAGATTATCGCTGGTAGCGGAAGGTAATTAGGACACGGCAATGCGACGACAACGATAAGGACTCGTCTAGATTGGGATGGGGAAAACTACTGAATGAATGCACTCGGAAAGAGGGAAACAAAGTTGAATGGCATCTGCGTTGCAGAGTGTCGCACAATATCCTTGGCTAATACGAATTGTTCGAGCAGATTCTTGTTTGCTCAGCAAGGTTATTCTATTTGTATGAGGTTTGATGTCAGTGTTCTGCTTCTCTACGTACTCGCTATGAGAATTATCCATCTTGTGGTGTGCTTCTGAGAAACACCTGCTCGCATTAGTCACAGCACTCAGCACCGCGTAAGCTATTCTCGAAATCGAATCGCCCTAGAGTTCCCCCCAACACAGCCCGGCTGCTGCGCCGTCGTGGGAACAGAGTGTGCGGAGACGCACGAATCGCGTGACAGGACTGCGCTTGGGGGGACAGGGGCTGGGGCGGGCGGAAAGTCCCAATTCGTCAGTCGGGGGAGCTCTGTTTGTCAGTGGGAAAGGCGCATGAATGCGGCTCGTCGGTGGAGGAATTTCTGGCGGAAAGAAATGTCGGAAATGTGTGTCTGCTCTGCTCTGCTCTGCCAACATCTGCTTGGGTTGGGAATATCTGCTTTGGGCTGAAATATGGCGGTGGTGTGGAATGGCATAGCTCAAACGGCGAAGCTGCTCTCAATGCACACACAATTTCAGCTGAAGTGGAGGAATTACGATTACGCTTTGATGCTGCATGCCTTCAAGCCGTTCGCCACTGATATATCACGTCGATCATTTCTGCTAGAACAATCATACCAGAATCCCGTGTGACAAAAGCTCTTACAATAGTGCAAGACGGACTTTGACCTCGTCAGCTGAACATCTTACCTACTCGCGCATCTTACCTTCATCATATTGGTACTTTCTAAGCTTGCCGCTCTAGTTCTCATAACACAGACGCTCAGTCGTTGCAATGGGCACTTCGACTTTTAGAAGAGTCCTACAAGCGTGCTGCTTACTGCTCGCCGTCTTTCAAGCAGTCCACTCCGCTCAACCCGACTCACCGCTCTCAACCGAGGATGGCGCCAACGGGACTCGTCGCATGGCCCTGGTGGGTCGGCAACCTCGTTCGGCAGCTCCCCTAGCCGCGCCTCTCGGCTCGGGCTTCTGGTCCGTCAGCAAGAACCAGTTCGTCGACGCGCATGGCCGCGTGGTACGCCCTCCCTGCCTTCCTACCTCCCTGCCTCGTTGACTCCATGCCGTACCTCCCAGTGATCTCCTTTCCGCAACCCCCACCTATCTCTTCTTACATTCTCATTTATCGCGAATGTACCACACACATTTTCTCAGTTTCCCCTCTCCCTTTTTTCGGTTTCTGGTTGATCGTTTCCCGGTTTCTTTCTGCTCCTTCTGTTGATTCCTTCCGTCGCGTCCAATCCCTTTCCCCCCGTTTTCCCCCGCGTCTCTCCCTTCTCGCGCAGGTGCGCTTCTCGGGGCTGATGTGGTCGGGGTTCGAGTCTGACGTGGCAGTCGTGCATGGGCTGTGGGCGCGTAGCTACCAGTCGCACCTGGACCAGATGCGCAAGCTCGGCTTCAACGCCATCCGCCTGCCCTTCGCGGGAGACGCGCTCGAGCCCACCTGCTACCCCAAGAGCATCGACTACGGCAAGAACCCCGACCTGCAGGGCCTCAACTCGCTGCAAGTTATGGATAAGATCATCGCCGCGGCGGGCAATCGAGGCATGAAGGTTATCCTGGATTATCATCAACACCACCTGCTGCTGAATCTTCCCACGGAGGGTCTCTGGTGGGACCCCACCACGCCCCCGAAGAAGTGGCTGCAGCGATGGGTCATGCTCGCGAAACGGTATCGTGGTAACCCGACGGTCATTGGCGCGGACCTGCTGAACGAGCCGCACTTCAACGAAAAGACCGCGCCGTTCCCCTCGCCGTACTGGGACGTGGAGGGCAAACACGAGAACCCTCCGCTCAACTTCCGCACCGCCACCAAAATGTGAGTTTCGCCATGAGTCCCTCACCCCCGAGGCGGACTCCCTCCCCCCCTCTGCCATTGATCTGACTAGAAATCCTTCAAGAGATCCTTCAGGAGCACCGGTCCTGTTGTTCCCTGCGCTTAACCCTCTCCGCCTCCACTCCCACCGTGCGTGCAGTGTGGCGGCGGCGATTCAGCGCGTGAACCCGGACTGGATCATCTTTCTGGAGGGCATGCACAACGACTACTGGTGGGGCGGCAACTGCCGCGTGCTCATGAAGGCGCCGCTAAAGCTCACCGTGCCCAACAAGCTCGCCTACACCGCTCACGAGTACGGCCCCTTCGTCTACTTCCAAAAGTTTTTCAACAAGTCCGTCACGCCTGACTTTCCAAAGAATCTCCCCAAGCTGTACAACCACCACTGGGGCTTTATCCAAAAGAAGGGGTACGCGCCGGTGTGGGTGGGTGAGTTTGGGTCGAAGCTGCCGCCTCCGGATTCGGAGCTGAACCGGGTGGAGCGGACGGTTTTCTTCACGCTGATCAAGTACATGAAGGCTCTCAAGGTGTCGTGGACGTTCGCGTTCTGGGGCCCGCTCAGCAAGGACACTGGGGGAATTCTTAACGACGACTGGTACACTGTCAGGCAAGACAAGCTAGATGCCCTCAAGCCTATCATGTATCCTAATTTTGCCTAGGAGCTGCTGGAGACCACAGATGGGAGTGGGTTCTGCAGTGGCTTCCGGATTGGTGTGCTGATGGTAATCGTCATTGTACCTAGACATGCGTTATTCTTGTTAAGTCCCCTTAGGTGGTCTGCGAAGCATAGGCATTTTCATACACATTAGGTGAAGGCTAACCACCGTAGGTCAATGTTCAGATATATGGGGTTAAAGTTATACGTTCAGTTAGGAATGCGTCATTCTCTAATGAAGCTGTACCGCACTTACCATACAGCAGCGCAGGTTTGGTCCCAATAAGCATTAAATGCTTGTTGTCTTGCGTGTTCCGCCAGTTGAATAATGACAGAGATCGACCTTGATTTCATATTTTTTTCCCGATTTTTTATGCCTGCTGCTGCAACAGCAAGAGGCTGTCGGATACCGCTCGCTACTGTCACATACCCAGAGGGAGGCAATGTTTTTTCGTCCAAGCAAACCTCCACCACACGCGGACCACACACACCATCACCACCACCCCCCCCTGACCCTCCCTCCCTCCCTTGTGTGCCACAATTTTCTGTTCCCTCCATTCCTGAGCAACCACTTTGTCGGTACGCAGCAGATGGATATTGGTCTGAAATCTAACGCATCATTTATCACTCAGATGGTTTAAAAAGGTTATGTTTGCGTTATTGAGATTTGTAGCGCGGTGAAGTGCGTTATGTTACATCCCCCCCTGCCCCTCCTCTTCCGCCAAAGCGTCCCTCCAGCTTCCAAACACTGTAACTGTACATATTTATCTTCTCCCCAGCATTTGGTTGTGTGGTGGGGAGAAGAGGAGCATCCCTTAGCTCACCCTCGCAGAATCCGCTGCTCGTTTCCGCGTTCCGCCAATCATCTTGTTAGGAGGGCGCAGGCAGCTCCTTGAGCTGACAGCTTTTGCCAGCTTGTGTCATTTTCCGAGAAAAAATAATATCTTTTTACGCAATTCAGCCATAGAGGTTGCATAGCGTCAATACGGTCATTCACCATAGCATTGCTTAGTGAGGAAAGAAAGTCATCACAGCTCCGTTCAGACCTCTCTTGACGGGAATCGTAGCAGAATTTGTTTTTCGTCTCGTCAGAATTTTCGCGATCCCCTCATTGCCATCCGTTTAACCCTAATTGTTGGCAATGGAGGTCGGCCCTCGAGTTCGAGCCAGCCACATGCTGGCGAGCAAGCCGACGCTGCTCCTCGATTTGCGCCTCACCAACGCGTCGGACGACCATCAGCCGACCCGCTGTCACAACTCCTTGTGGCACGACGCCATGTCGAATTCATTGGGCGACGCGACGCGGAGAGGCGACTCACTACGCGCGGACGCAAGCGTGGGCGCCGCGGAGAAATTTGCCGCACCGCACGGCCCGGGGGTGACGTTTGAGTCGACTTCGACGAGAGGACTCGGCGCCCGGGAAAGCCGGGCGTGGCTGGAGATCGAGGAGGAATGGAACGAGGAAGACGAAGACGAGGAGGGCGAGGAGGCGGCGATGCTGGACGTCGACGCGTTCCTCGGGCGGCGGTTGACGCGCGAGCCGAGTTTTAGCATCGAGGACGCGGCGCTGTACGGCCTGCCGGGTGAGCATCTCCGCGTGCTCGTTGTTCGGGTGTCTGAGTTGAATTGTCTAAATATAATGTGTTTTATCGCGGGCCCGCGATTGGACGTTGTTTCCGGCGCGCATCGTCGTAACACGCGACCGTTGTTCCACCTTCTTTGTTAATAGCTCTTTCCCTCCCCACCCGTGCCTTCTGATTCTTCAGAGGAAGTGGCGACTCCGCGCCCCGCGTCAGCGCGATTCACGGCGAGCGACAGTGAAGCAGCGGCGCTGCGACTCGCAGTAATGGAAGCGGAGGTCAACATAGTCATGGAGACGAACCGCCTCGTGTCCGCCATTAAATGCCAGCTCACCTCCCCCTGCTCCACCATCCCGCCCCGCTCTCCCTCCGCCGCGGGCACCACCTCCCCCTCTCCCCCCCGCACCTCCTGGGACTTCCGCTCCTTCTCCTCCCCCGCAACCACCCCCTCCCCCGCCTCTGCTTCCGCCCACTCCGCTCTCTCCCCCTGGCGCAGAAAAACCCCCGCAGTGTCCCCCACAGCTGGGTGGGCCTCGCAGGTTCCAGAGGAAGAGCCGGTGTTTGGTTCCCCCATGGCTGATCGGCCCATCTCTCGCTCCCTCACCTCCTCCTCGCTGCTTCCCCGCCCGCGCTCGTCGCACATCACCCGCTCCCGCACTGCCTCGTGCGACCGCCTGCCTGCGAGCTTCGTGCCTCGCAGTGAATCTAATGGCTCGACGGGTTCCAGTGCTGATCGATCACCGTTTGGTGGTGTGGCTGGTGGTGGTTGCGAGCGCAGCGTGTCGCAAACACGCCTGCCGTCATTTTCGAATGGGACAGGAGGAGCTCCTGTGAGGAAGATGCTGGGGGCGCTGAGGCGGCAAATGAGCTTGCCCAGTGGCAATTGGCTGCAGCACAAGACATCAAGAAGAAAAGCGCTGGCTAGTCATAAGGATGAGTAGCCGCAGCATGTTGTAACAGCTTGGGGTGTGCAAGAGTGAGGTCCGTTGCTGTGAAATCCAGAATAAATATCAATTACCACCGCAAGTTCCACAAATCTGAACTCATTCTGAATGGAGGTGACTTTTCAGCAATTGAAATCAACTGTACCGGGTATATCGACGACAGCACCCAGAGCATTAGCCCGTAGGAGACGTGTTGCTTGCTCTTATTTTCGGCCCAGACTCGCCTCCTTGTGAATGTGCGTCGTCACGTTGCCGTCTCGCTCTCGTATCCCTTCGCCTAATTTTCCGGCGAGTACAGCCCGCTCAGATCCTGACAGCGCGAAACGGTCGCCTGCCTGCTCGTCGCCGGACGATCTCTAGCGCGTCAACGCGGTTGTAAGAAGGATTTGATGTATGCTTTTTGCGCCAGTCGCGAATCATGGAGTTAAGGTCGCGAGGCGTTTCGGAGCGGTAGCACTGGGGCAATCTTAGGCGTTTTATCCATTCGCGCGCGACACCCTGCTGAGTTGGGCACGGCGTTTCGGGTGATTCCGTCAATTTCGGTTCGCTCATCAATCGCTATACAGCTTACCATCGCAAGAGACATTAATCCAAAAATCAAAAGAACGAGCCGCAAGGGGACGAAGGGGCGAGACGACCGTTGACGCGCTCAGAACAAGTAGTCAAGTGAGGGAGGTAGAAAGAGCAGGGAGGAGGAGGAGCGGCGAAAGCGCGGGCCGTCCATCGTGCGGCGTGCAGCGTGCGACGTGCGGCTTGTGGCGTGCGAGCAGGAGGCATGGCGTCTGCGGGGAGCCAGCAGCAGGTACAGCGTGCGTTCGCCGTTACGAGTTACCACAGTCGATGCTCGCAGCACCATGACGCACGCCTCTTGCGCAAACTGCGCGCTGCGCTTGTTGCGGGAGAACGCGGCTGTTGCGGAGGAAAGCGCGGGGCTGGAAGCGCGCGCATGGCGACTACAGCGCCGGTGCTGCGGAACAAGCCGCAGGGTGGTCCATACGCGCGCTCTTGCGCGCGCTCTCCGCAGCGCTCCCCTCGTCGGCCTTCTCTCCTCTCTCCCCTGCCGCCCTCGCCCCATCCTTATCTCCCTGCTTTCCGATTCCCCTTTGGCAGGGATTTTTAGTCACACATTGGCGGGTTTTGGTAGAAATTGCGTCGTTTTACGACTGTCGTTCTCTCTCCACCCTTATCTCCTCGCTTCCGCCCCTTTCCTCTCCCCCTCCACCTCCTCCCCCCACCCTCGCCTCTTCCTGTGCAGGGCTTGAGTCGCATAGCAGCGGGGCGGCTGCACAAGGAGCTGGCGGAGTGGCAGCGCAACCCCCCGCACGGATTCGTGTACCACCCCAGTGACAACCTGCAGAGGTGCGGTGCAGAGGGGTGGGGAGGTAGGTAGGGGAGTGGGATGGGAGAGTGCAAGAATGACAACCTGCAGAGGTGCGGTGCAGAGGGGTGGGGAGGGGGAGAGGTGGGTGGCAGTCAATGCGACAACCTGCATAACTGCGTGGTAAGAGGTGGGGTGGTGGTGGGAAGGGGAGTGGAATTAGATGCTTAGACCGACAGAGTGACACTGTGGCGGCGCAACCCCCCCCTATGTACCACCCGAGTGACAACCTGCATAGGTCCCCGCTCTACCTTCCTTCCCTCTGCTCGTTCTCACCAGCCTACTTCTCCCCTCTCCTCCTCTCCCCTCTCCCTCTCCTCCTCTCCCTCTCCTCCTCTCCCCTCTCCTCCTCTCAACTCTCCTCCTTTCCCCTCTCCTCCTCTACCCTCTCCTCCCCCTCTTCCTCTCTTCCTCTCCTGTTCCCCTTCCGGTGTGCATACGTGTGGTGCCCGTGAGACAGATGTAGCAGACAGACACGTGCATGGGATGGGGCAAGAGGCACGCTATAGGCAGCGCAGGTCTCGAGCCCCTCTCTCTCCCTTCACCTCTCCCCCCGTCTCCTCCTGCCCTCTCCGCACTTTCCCCCTCCCTCCTGGCAAGCATGTGACATGTGTGTCGTGCAGATGGAGCATAGACGTGCACGGGGCAGCGGGCACGCTGTATGCAGGGGAGGTGTTTCAGCTGCAGGTCGACTTCCCCTCCAACTACCCCCTCGAGGCCCCTCAGGTGCTCCTCTCCTCCTCTCACCATCCCTCGTTGCTTCCTGCATTCATGCATTCTTCTCCCCTCCTGCACCCTCTCCTGCACCCTCTCCTGCACCCTCTCCTGCACCCTCTCCTGCACCCTCTCCTGCACCCTCTCCTGCACCCTCTCCTGCACCCTCTCCTGCACCCTCTCCTGCACCCTCTCCTGCACCCTCTCCTGCACCCTCTCCTGCACCCTCTCCTGCACCCTCTCCTGCACCCTCTCCTGCACCCTCTCCTGCACCCTCTCCTGCGCCCTCTCCTGCGCCCTCTCCTGCGCCCTCTCCTGCACCCTCTCCTGCACCCTCTCCTGCACCCTCTCCTGCACCCTCTCCTGCACCCTCTCCTGCACCCTCTCCTGCACCCTCTCCTGCACCCTCTCCTGCACCCTCTCCTGCACCCTCTCCTGCACCCTCTCCTGCACCCTCTCCTGCACCCTCTCCTGCACCCTCTCCTGCACCCTCTCCTGCACCCTCTCCTGCACCCTCTCCTGCACCCTCTCCTGCACCCTCTCCTGCACCCTCTCCTGCACCCTCTCCTGCACCCTCTCCTGCACCCTCTCCTGCACCCTCTCCTGCACCCTCTCCTGCACCCTCTCCTGCACCCTCTCCTGCACCCTCTCCTGCACCCTCTCCTGCACCCTCTCCTGCACCCTCTCCTGCACCCTCTCCTGCACCCTCTCCTGCGCCCTCTCCTGCGCCCTCTCCTGCGCCCTCTCCTGCGCCCTCTCCTGCACCCTCTCCTGCACCCTCTCCTGCACCCTCTCCTGCACCCTCTCCTGCACCCTCTCCTGCACCCTCTCTTGCACCCTCTCCTGCACCCTCTCCTGCACCCTCTCCTGCACCCTCTCCTGCACCCTCTCCTGCACCCTCTCCTGCACCCTCTCCTGCACCCTCTCCTGCACCCTCTCCTGCGCCCTCTCCTGCGCCCTCTCCTGCGCCCTCTCCTGCGCCCTCTCCTGCGCCCTCTCTCCTGCGCCCTCTCCTGCGCCCTCAGCTCTGTTCTCTCCCGCACTGCTCCTGTCGTTGTTCCTGCATGCTCGCACCTTGCCCCTTCTCCACCTGCCCGTCCTTCCCGATTTCCACCTCCACATTCCTGATTCTCCTCCTATCTTAATCCAAGTCAACTTAAACCAACCCACACCAGCCCACTCCAACACAAATCAACTGAATTCAACCCAATCCATCCCGAACCGACCCGCAGGTCATATTCTCGCGCAACCCACCAGTGCACCCACACATCTACAGCAACGGTCACATATGCCTTGGTAGGCCGCATCTGCCTTGGTAGGCCGCATGTGCCTTGGTAGGCCGCGTGTGCCTTGGTAGGCCGCGTGTGCCTTGGTAGGCCGCATGTGCCTTGGTAGGCCGCATGTGCCTTGGTAGGCCGCATGTGCCTTGGTAGGCCGCGTGTGCCTTGGTAGGCCACGTGTGCCTTGGTAGGCCGCATGTGCCTTGGTAGGCCGCGTGTGCCTTGGTAGGCCGCATGTGCCTTGGTAGGCCGCATGTGCCTTGGTAGGCCGCATGTGCCTTGGTAGGCCGCATGTGCCTTGGCATGTTTCATGTCTGACTGTGTTAATCGCTCGGTTTGTGCCAATCCTTCAACCATGCATCACATCCCTACACCATCCCCATCATCTCGTCTCACCCCTTCCAGCCTTTCTGTACGACTCATTGTCACCTGCCATATATGTGCCCTCATCCCACCCCACCCTGCTCACATACATCGCACCGCACCCCACCGCTGCATCCTGCAGACATTCTGTACGACTCGTGGTCGCCCGCCATGACAGTGAGCGCCGTGTGCCTCTCCATCCTCTCCATGCTCTCCAGCTGCAAGGAGAAGGTACGCTGCCTCCCCTTTGACCCCTGTCACCCCTAAGACACCAAGCATAGGGTGTGTGTGCGTGTGCGTGCGTGCGTGCGTGCGTGCGTGCGTGCGTGCGTGCGTGCGTGCGTGCGTGCGTGCGTGCGTGCGTGCGCGCGCGCGCGCGCGTGTGTGTGTGTGTGTGTGTGTGTGTGTGTGTGTGTGTGTGTGTGTGTGTGTGTGTGTGTGTGTGTGTGTGTGTGTGTGTGTGCTCACTCTGCCTCTCCATCCTCTCAATGCTCTCCAGCTGCAAGGGGAAGGTACGCTCCCTTTCTCTCTGAAACCCCTCCCTACACCTTTTTCAAAGTAAGGTAAGTGCAGAATGTCACGCCTCTCCATCCTCTCCTCTCCATGCCTCTCCATCCTCTCCATGCTCCCCAGCTGCAAGGTGAAGGTGCGCTCTCTTTCTCTCTACCAGGACAACGAATGTTTTGTGCAGCTATGTGCCTCTCTGCCCCTCTGCCCCATCCGCCTCTCCGTCCTCTGCTCATCTCTCCGCACTTCTCTCCCCCCAGGTGAGGCCAGCAGACAACGACCGGTACGTGCAGCGCAGCGGGCAGTCCCCGAACGCTTGTGGAAAGTTGACTCTTGCTCATCCTTGTCCCCATCCTTCCCCACACTCCCTCCACACACCCCCTTCCCCTGCAGGTGAGGCCGGCAGACAACGACCGGTATGTGCAGCGCAGCGGCCAGTCCCCCAAGAACACACGCTGGTGGTTCCACGACGACCAGGTGTAGATTAACTTGAGGAGAAGTGGCGGGGTGTGCATGAGTAGGTGTAAGCTGTTGACGTGCCCACATGACGTGAACGGGTGGTGGTGCTGTGCACAGGGTTTTAGATAGAAATTTAGGTTGATATTTGCATGGATCATCACGGTGCAGACTTCTGTCCAACCGATAGGACAGCAGAAATGTATGGTTGAAGAAACAGGAAAGTGCTGCAAAAAACGTATCATTACCAGATATAGCTACATAATACCAGGGGCTGTGCTAGGATTTCGGGCATCCTGAGCCCTCAGGGCAACTTTTGAAAATTCACAAGAATGCCCTGATTTTTCAGGGCAACGTTTTATGGCTATCCTTAACTTTCAGGGCACCAACATGAGTTCATCTTGATCTCTCAGGGCAACAAAATCACAAGACATGAGAGAGGTGGAGGGGAGGGCACGATATGACTGGGAAGCCCGGTGCATGCATGGTACAGCACGACGAGGAAGTGGCGAAATCCTCGGGAGGAGACAAAACCAGTACACACACACATCCTCGGGCGAAATTTCATCGAGGGAAAGATTCTCGCGATACTGTATCCTCCCGTTCTTGCACCTACTCATTAACAGCTATCATATGGAATGTCAACCTGAATGTTGTTGCATATTCGGGTGGCCCATGCTTAAATACACCTATCAGAGCGCTTTCGGCTTGAATCACGCGAAGAGAAAAGTTTGGCACTTGCGAAAACGGCTCTTCTTGCCGACGGATGCTAAGGACGCGCATGGATCACTACAGGCGTATAGAAAATCATCGAACTGTCAAATTATATGCTGTGCATATTGTGTAGGCTATAGTGGGGTAGCCACTAAGGGGTACAACCCTTCTAGGATTTTCATATTTGTATCCCATTGCTTTCTAGTCCAACCATTCTTACCTTAGTTTCAACATGCTATCAGAGCAGTAGGTCCGTAGGACCGGTTTTTTTTTTAGGGCCCACCGGTTACTACTCTACCCCACGCCCTACCTTGCCCTGTACCGCCCACGCGCGCCGCCCCTGCAGTCCCGCGCGCCGCCCCTGTAGCCCGCGCGCCGCCTTCGCCGCCTGCGCGCCGCCGTCGCTGCCCGCGCGTGGCCCATTGCAGCCCCGCGCGCCGCGCCAGCAGCCTGCGCTCCGCCCTCGCCGCCCGCGCGCAGCTTCAGCAGCCCGCGCGCTGCCGTTTGCAGCCCCGCGCGCTGCCCCTACAGCCCGCGCGCTGCTGTCTGCAGCCCCGCGCAAGCCCCTGCAGCCCTCGCACTGCCTCTGCCCTGCCCCGCGCGCAGCCCCTTGCAGCCGGCACCCTGCCCCAGCAGCCCTCGTGCTGCCTCTGCCCTACCCCGCGCGCCGCCCTTGCAGCCTGTACCCTTCCTCTGCAGCCCTCGCGCTGCCTCTGCTCTGCCCCGTGCGCCGCCCTTGCAGCACCGCGCACCGCCCTTGCTGCCTGCTTGCAACCTCTGCAGCCCTTGCGCTGCCTCTGCCCTGCCCTGCTACTGAGCTGCTAAACTATGACCACTTTGCGTATTCTCGCATTCGATCCTGACGGCCGCCCAGTCAAATTCGACACCTGGCTCCAGGACCTGCAGCTGTACCTGCTGAGCGACGCTAGGGACGGTGTTTCGCTCTATGACCTAGCGACTGGTGCCTCCACTGCCCCACCAGCCTCAGCTGACGCGACGACTCGCTCGCAGTGGCTTACCTGTGATGCTGCTGCTTGCCTAGCCATTCGCAACCACCTGCCGGTAGCTGAATGCGAGCATTTTGACCAGGCAAAGACTGCTAAGGCCCTCTACGACGCTGTTGTTGCACGTTACTCTTCCCCTGCCACTGCAGCGCTTAGTCGACTCTTCCTGCCCTACCTTTTCCCCGACCTGTCCTCCTTCACCACGGTAGACGACCACCTCTCCCACCTTCGAGCTATGGACACTCGTTATCGTGCTGCCCTCCCTGCCGAGTTTCTCCCCAAGAACAAGCCCCCGATCCACATCACTCTCCACGTTATATTGGCCCGCCTCCCTGACGCTCATAGTGCAGTCCGGGACACCCTTCTCGCTCTCCCCCCCACAGACCTCACTATCGACCTGCTAGGGAAGCACCTTCTTGCAGCTGAGGCTAACATAGTCGCTGTAGGTGCTACCCGTGGCACCCCTCGCACGCCCTTCTTTGAGGAGTGCTGCTCCTCCCCCCTTGCCCCCTCTGTTGCCTCTGCCGCTGCTGTCGACTTCCTTGGTGCTGAGGAGGTCGGCGCTGCTTCTGCTCCTAGTGGGAAGCGCCGCAGCGGCAAGGGCAAGGGGGGCAAGGGTGGTGGGAGTGGCGGCGGGGGGGGTGGTGGTGGAGGTGGTTGGGGTGGCGGAGGTGGTGGAGGTGGCGGTGGGAGTGGTGGAGCGAGTGGAGGCGTCGGCGGCAGAGGTGGCGGCGGTGGCGGGGGTGGTGGTGGCAGTGGTCGTGGTGGCAGTGGGAGCAGTGGTGGCGGGAGTGGCAGCGGCGGGAGTGGTGGCAGCGGCGGCGGTGGTGATCGCTCTGGCGCAGTTCAGCGGCAGCAGCAGCAGCGTCCGCGTGAGACCCTCTCGCCCCAACAGCTTCGTGAGTGGCTTGCTTAATGTGCGACGTCTAGGGGAAGTGGTAGTGGTCGCTGCTCGTACGTTATTCGCACAGGTCCCCGCGCTGGTCAGACGTGCGGGAAGTTTCACACCCAGCACCGCTGTTTCTCCCGCCTAGACGACGCTTGGCGTCAGGAGATGGGCGACGAGTATGAGTTGCCCCGCTGGGCAGAGCTGCTTAAGACTGGTGATGTTATCTTTGCTCTTGACTTTGACGCTATCATTGCTGGCATGTATGCTCTGTCTACTAGTGTTGAGGGTGACTGTTACTTGTGTGCGCCGTATGACCCTGGTATAGAGGCTGCTGCTCTAGGTGCTAGTGAGTCTGCTCTCTCTGGTACTGCGCCTGCTGAGGCCTTGCACACCTTCACGCTTGACTCAGGTGCTTCTCGCTGCTTCTTTCGCGACAGTACCACAGTCACACCACTCACCAGGCCTGTTGCAGTTTCCCTGGCTGACCCCTCTGGGGGCCCAGTTCTTGCACGTTCCTCTTCTGTGCTCCCATGCCCGGCCGTTCTGCCCGGTTCCCTGTCCAGTCTCAACCTCCCCTCGTTCTCGACGAAACTTGGTGAGCAACGCAGACCTCCAGGATGCAGGGGTTGATACCTTTACACCTGGATGGCAGCGTGTGGCGATCTGTACGTGCTCTCGCACTTGCCGTCACCTAGCCACGTTCACTCGTCGGCCGGGGTCGAGTCTGTACCTCGGGTGGGTGAGTGGAAGGGAAAGAGGCCTGAAACCCCTTGGGTGGGTGAGTGGAAGGGAAAGGGGCCTGAAACCTCTCGGGTGGGTGAGTGGAAGGGAAAGGGGCCTGAAACCCCTCGGGTGGGTGAGTGGAAGGGAAAGGGGCCTGAAACCCCTTGGGTGGGTGAGTAGAAGGGAAAGGGGCCTGAAACCCCTCGGGTGGGTGAGTGGAAGGGAAAGGGGCCTGAAACCCCTTGGGTGGTTGAGTGGAAGGGAAAGGGGCCTGAAACCCCTTGGGTGGGTGAGTGGAAGGGAAAGGGGCCTGAAACCCCTTGGGTGGGTGAGTGGAAGGGAAAGGGGCCCGAAACCCCTTGGGTGGGTGAGTGGAAGGGAAAGGGGCCTGAAACCCCTTGGGTGGGTGAGTGGAAGGGAAAGGGGCCTGAAACCCCTTGGGTGGGTGAGTGGAAGGGAAAGGGGCCTGAAACCCCTTGGGTGGGCGAGTGGAAGGGAAAGGGGCCCAAAACGCCTTGGGTGGGCGAGTGGAAGGGAAAGGGGCCTGAAACACCTTGGGTGGGTGAGTGGAAGGGAAAGGGGCCTGAAACCCCTGGGGTGGGTGAGTGGAAGGGAAAGAGGCTTGAAACCCCTCGGGTGGGTGAGTGGAAGGGAAAGGGACCTGAAACCCCTCGGGTGGGTGAGTGGAAGGGAAAGGGGCCTGAAACCCTTCGGGTGGGTGAGTGGAAGGGAAAGGGGCCTGAAACCCCTTGGGTGGGTGAGTGGAAGGGAAAGGGGCCTGAAACCCCTTGGGTGGGTGAGTGGGAGGGAAAGGGGCCTGAAACTCCTGGGGTGGGTGAGTGGAAGGGAAAGGGGCCTGAAACCCCTTGGGTGGGTGAGTGGAAGGGAAAGGGGCCTGAAACCCCTTGGGTGGGTGAGTGGAAGGGAAAGGGGCCTGAAAACCCTTGGGTGGGTGAGTGGAAGGGAAAGGGGCCTGAAACCCCTCGGGTGGGTGAGTGGAAAGGAAAGGGGCCTGAAACCCCCTGGGTGGGTGAGTGGAAGGGAAAGGGGCCTGAAACCCCTTGGGTGGGTGAGTGGGAGGAAAAGGGGCCTGAAACCCCTGGGGTGGGTGAGTGCAAGGGAAAGGGGCCTGAAACCCCTAGGGTGGGTGAGTGGAAGGGAAAGGGGCCTGAAACCCCTTGGGTGGGTGAGTGGAAGGGAAAGGGGCCTGAATCCCCTCGGGTGGGTGAGTGGAAGGGAAAGGGGCCTGAAACCCCTCGGGTGGGTGAGTGGAAGGGAAAGGGGCCTGAAACCCCTCGGGTGGGTGAGTGGAAGGGAAAGGAGCCTGAAACCCCTCGGGTGGGTGAGTGGAAGGGAAAGGGGCCTGAAACCCCTCGGGTGGGTGAGTGGAAGGGAAAGGGGCCTGAAACCCCTCGGGTGGGTGAGTGGAAGGGAAAGGGGCCTGAAACCCCTTGGGTGGGTGAGTGGGAGGGAAAGGGGCCTGAAACCCCTTGGGTGGGCGAGTGGAAGGGAAAGGGGCCTGAAACCCCTGGGGTGGGCGAGTGGAAGGGAAAGGGGCATGAAACCCCTTGGGTGGGCGAGTGGAAGGGAAAGGGGCCTGAAACCCCTTGGGTGGGTGAGTGGAAGGGAAAGGGGCCTGAAACCCCTTGGGTGGATGAGTGGAAGGGAAAGGGGCCTGAAACCCCTTGGGTGGGTGA